GGGGCTGACTTTTTAGTCAGCGTCCCACTATCAGTGTTCTCGGTAGCTTCTTATCTGTGCAGCCCATGCCACTTGATTAAATCCAACTCGGAACGGTCCGCTGCGGGTAGTTATTACTATTGTAGTATAGATCTGGCAGGGTCCTTGCAGCTGTTTTCATCGCTCCAACAAATAGACTATGGGCCGTCATTCATTGCATGTTGATCCCAACCAATAGAGTAGAGTGTTGAGCTGATTCATCAACTTGGTCACGTTACATGGATGCCTAAACAATAATGCAACTTCAGCCGCACAAGGCTGACAACCCAATCGTAACATCTTCCAAGCTGTTGTCTTTGTCTATACTTTCCACTTGACAACTTCTACCATCATCTTACTGCCATTCTCCGCTAGCTAGACTCTGGGGCCGTAAGGATGCGACGGCTTTGGGAGCATGCACGGCAAAAGGGTAGAAGTAGCAAACAATCTGACAGTTCAGTGTCTGCCTCCCCGCCCCTCCCAATAATAACAAACACACCTCAGGGGCTTGAGGTCGTGTACGATGGGAATGATGCTATCGTTGAGTAAGTACCATCTCCTGATACTTTATTTGCCATATCCTTCTAACGTTGTATTTCTAGCATCATCGCCGTTCACGGCCTAAACGGGCACCGACAGAAAACATGGACCGCAGCTAACAATGTCCATTGGCTCCGCGACCTCCTTCCACACGATCTACCTCGCGCTCGTATCATGTGTTGGGGTTACGATGCCAACACGCACGACAGCTCTCGCGTGAGCTGCCAATACCTGTACGATCATGCACGTACCTTGGTTTCGGATCTGTGCCGAAAGCGGCAATTGACCAGCGTACGTGCTAATTTGGCTCGGGGAACTTAAAGCGCCATGACTATTGGACAATGACTAAAACAAGACTAGTCAACGAGACGGCCGATCATATTTGTGGCACACAGTCTAGGTGGCATCGTTGTAAAAAGTGTCAGTCTCTTGTCTGTATAAAGAGTGCTGGTTATGTACTGATAGGAACAGGCATTGATCCATTCAGACGCATCGCGACAAGGGGCGTTGCTCGAACACCGCTCCATCAAGCTCTGTACATATGGCATCATCTTCATGGGTACCCCACACCAAGGTGGTAACGGGGTGCAATTGGGCCGATTACTCGTAAACATTGCTTCAGTTTTTGTCGCAGCCGATAACCATATCCTGCAGCATCTAGAACGAGACTCAGAGTGGCTGCAGCAGCAGCTCGGGCAATACGGCCCGATTACTAACGACTTTGTTACAAAGTATGCTTATGAGGCATACGAGACTGCAACGGCATTTGGCCGCAAAATCATGGTATGCTCTACTCTTTCCTGTATAATATAGTATACTAAGTGGTAACAGGTAGTCCCGCGTGCATCGGCAGTCGTACCAGGCCATGCCAATGCCGAGTCGATCGTCATTCATCACGACCATATCAACATGGTAAAATTTATAAGCAAGGAAGACAATGGCTATGAGAAGATTTCAGGGTATTTGCAGATTATGGTGGTGAATACGGGTGACCAGATACGGCAGCGATGGGAGGAGGAGGCAAGGATAACAGAGGGTGGGTACCTGCCATATGTCCTTGATTCTGACACTAATTAAAGTCTGTATATGTAGCTCGGACTGATCCTGCGTTCAGTCGATGGTTCCTACCTCTAAGCTTATCCGGCGTCACTGAAGTCGCGCATTTCGTGGCAAGAGAGGAAGAGCTTGCACAAACACATGAGATTTTGCGTGCTAATAACAGACGACGTACTGCTGTCCTGTATGGCTTAGGTGGGATGGGTAAGACACAATTGGCGGCAGCATACATTAAACGCCACCATGCAGATTACTCCGCCGTCATCTGGCTGAACGCCAAAGATGCAACATCACTAAAGCAAAGTTTCGCTCATGTGGCCGGGAGGATCAGTCAACAGCATCCCTCCACACTCTACATTGAGAATGCCATCAAGGACAAGGATCTCGATCAGATAACCGAGGCGGTCAAGCGATGGCTAGGAGAGACTCACAACAGCCGTTGGCTCGCTATTTATGACAATTACGACAACCCGAAATTCCCCAATTCCACAAGTGGGCCAGAGTCGAGCAAAGAGATTGTAAAGGACGAATCTGGTGCGATAAACTCTGAGTCTCAGATATCGCTGGAGAAAGGGTTTGATATTCGACCCTTCTTTCCCAGCAGTTATCAGGGTGCCATTCTGATAACAACACGATCATCTATCGTCCAGCTTGGAAAGATCGTTCGACTAGGGAAATTGACAAGTGTTCATGACAGCCTTCAGATTTTGGCTTCCACGTCACATCGACAAGGCCTCAATGACGGTAAAATGCGGTTGATGAAACGTAACAGATAAGGTCAATACACTAATGTAGTTTGAATAGATGATGCCGCTCTGCAACTCGCGCAGCGACTCGATGGGCTTCCCCTTGCTCTCTCCACCGCCGGCTCTTATCTTAGCCAAGTGTCGACAAGCTGGGCTGAGTACCTGGAGCTTTACAACAAGTCATGGCTACGACTTCAAGAGAGTAGTCCACAGCTGCTTACCTACGACTACGCAATGTACACCACCTGGGATATTTCATACAGGCACATCGAGCGAGATAGCAAAACCGCCACAAAGCTGCTTCAGTTGTGGGCATATTTCGACAATGAAGACTTATGGTTCGAGCTACTACAAAGTGGTGCATCAGATGCATCGAATTGGCTGCTACAAGTTGTACAAGACCGACTTTCCTTTGACCAGACGATGAGAGTGCTTTGCAGCCATGGGCTTGTCGAGGCTGACCCACCAACAGGAAAATGGGGCACACAATCCAATGGATATAGCGTGCATGGATGCGTGCACTCCTGGATGGTGCACGTGCTGAACAAGGGGACCAATGAAGATATGTCTGAGCTAGCGATGAGATGCATAGCGTCTCATGCACCTAGTACAGATGTGACAGAGTATTGGTTGGTCCAGAGACGTCTTCTTCGACACGCAGATCGATGCCACACGATGCTGGCAAAAACTCAACAACTGCAAAATCGTGAGTGGATCCCAGCAGTGCTGGGGAATCTCTATGCCGTCCAGGGTCGATTGAAGGAAGCAGAAGACATGTATAACCGTGCACTTCAAGGCAAAGAGAAGGCATGGGGACCAGAACACACATCAACACTCGATACAGTTAATAATCTCGGTTTTCTCTACGCCAACCAAAGTCGATGGAAGGAAGCAGAAGACATGTACCATCGCGCACTTCAGGGCTACGAGAAGGCATTGGGACCAGAACACACATCAACGCTTGACACAGTCAATAATATCGGTCTTCTCTACAAAAGCCAAGGTCGATTGAAGGAAGCAGAAGACATGTACAACCGTGCACTTCAAGGCTACGAGAAAGCACTAGGGGTCCTCATCGTAGACACTTACCCCCCTGCGCTGAACACTCTGGAGAATCTTGGAGACTTGTTACGGGATGTTGGTCGGCTTGAAGAGGCACAGAAATACTATCTTCGTGCAGAAGGTGGTGTTAGACTTGTGTACGGGTCTGAGAGTGAAAAACATCGAAGACTTTCTTCTAAGTTACAAGTTCATGATTAGGGTAGGGTGTATTTACTGTCGGAAATAGAGAGATAGCAATCTAGCCAGTTTGTCATTATGTTTGTTATTTTTCAGCGTTTATTCAATCAAAAAGTTAAGATTAGATAATCGCAGATGCAAAGTATCCTAAAACCGCATGCATGGTACTAGCAGTCAGTCCGCACTGTGGCTAGTGGAGATTGCTGTACTTAAAATAGCTACATGGTCTTTATACTTGCGATTACATCAATATACATTGTACTTAGATGAAACAGCCAATTGTGGCTGTTGTAGGTGGGTTCAAGGGCCGAGGTGGGGTCAGTTTTGGACCTAATAAGGTTTACCCGTGTACCGCAAAGTATCTAGCTTAGTTTACAGAAAACGATTGTAAGACGAAAGAGGAACATGGTTTTGCACAAAACTGTAGAACATGCTACAGTATTAATACATACTATGTATATTCGCCGGATTGTACAATACAGGCTGATTCCACCCATTTTTCACCTTGCTGCCCAAGACGTCTTCGCGTCTAGCACATGGGCTGAATATATTAATGAGTACAGATATGCAAGAGCTGGAAATGGCTTCTTTGTGCCTACGCCGTAAATGGCTTGGCTATTCAGCCGTTCTTAGCCCCGCGCCAGAAACACACCCTTTTATATACACCCCCCTTATATACACTCCATGTACATTGTTCCTTAATCAATATCCAGGCAGTTATTTCATGTCAGGAATTGCCGACTCGACCATGCTGGCTGTGCCCGGACCTAACTGTCCTCGAACCACACGGACGTCCTAGTACCGCATGGCTGTCCTGGTACCGCATGGCTGTCCTGGTACCGCAGGGCTGTCCTGGTACCGCATGGCTGTCCTCGTACCGCATGGCTGTCCTCGAACCACAGGGCTGTCCTGGTACCGCATGGCTGTCCTGATACCGCATGGCTGTCCTGGTACCGCATGGCTGTTCCCGGCTTCCATGCTCATCTCTGCGACGCTGACAAGGCTGGTGGATACAGCCGGCAAGGTGTGCGACACATTCTGCTAGAATATAGGAACCGGATGAATGAATAAATTTAGTGGAAACTGATGGTGCGGGTTGTGGGTGAAAAGATCGTTGGGTTGCCCATAAAAATCTAAGGAAAAGAAATGAGTAGGGGGAGAGGTAAGCAATTTAATTAGATTAACATTAGATAAGATAAACTAAACTAATTTGCACTGTATCACATGGTTGCATTTGTGTGGCTGCCACCTCCACTAGGACGCATGTTCTTGTGGGCCGAGCGGATGCAATGTCAGAGGCGTCTACCAGGTCATTAACGACAAAGGTACATGTGTACCCCTTAATCCATGCTTCTAACTGTAGCCAGTTCCAACGGTGAAGTGTTTGTCGCTGCTTTCCTAGTGGTTGCGGTGGCTCTAACTAGCAAAACGGTATATGAACATTAACAATACGAACTTATGAGTTTAAAATTTTGTCCAGGAGCCCAGGAAATAGTACCATCCTTGTGGTCTCAAGCTGACTGGGCCAGTTTGCTAATATAGGGATGCAGGTCGCGCTGCCTTCTAAAGCAGGGATGAACTTCATGCATAGGTCCACCAACTGAATGTAACCAACCTGACCCCCTCCGGCCAAATTTGTCAAGCGATCCTAATTAGTAGCACACAAAATTTCTTAGCTTAACGCTCCACTCGTAACTCATTGCCTCGCTGCCATTGAGCTCCCATCCTTATACCCCTCGATGCCCTCGATGAATTTAGAATAAGAGACAGCACCAAGTTGATGACAAAACTTTCCATCGCTTTTAGATTGTGCCCATATTTCCATTGCTTGGATGAGTTCGCGAAGCTGTGGGACTGTTGGGCGACTTACACTGGACGGTGGTCTAGGGTAGGTCAGGATGTAACCAATCACGGTTGCTCTGAGTGGGACGATCAGGTTGTCTTGGTACTGTGCGAGTCACGGCTGATGTGTGAGCACTGAGGAGCTAGTTTCAATGAAGGCGGTAGCGGTTGTATTGATAACTGTCTAAAGGAGTATTATAGCTAATGAAATGAATGTGCATATATATTGAGGTTGTCACTTGTCTGTCACTCGTCCGTCCCTTTGCCCGAGTGACGGGTCAGTTCTTATTGGTTGGTACCGGTCCAGTGGGCCCGTGCTTGCACGTGATCCCACGCGGCCTGACGGAGGCCTTTGTTTGTAACAAGCTGCTGGTACTGCGCCGCCACGGTGTTTGTTGTATGGAGGAGCAACTGGTTGGGGAGGTGGTGTAGCTTCAGCGACAGCGTCGCAATATTGATCTCATATGAATATCACCCGGCTCCCCAAAAATAGCACATTTTAGTATAGGTTTGACGCGGTCGACGTCGACATCGGCAAGGGCAACTACGGATGTGTAGCGAGGAGATCGTTCCAACTATTTTCAAATGGAGTACAATGACAACACGATTACTTTGTAGAGAAAGGAGGAAGAGAAGCGTACCTGACTTCAAACATCTCGAGATTGTTCTAAAGGTTCCCTCAAGAGGCTGGATGGGCGGTACCGACTTTATTGGTTAAGCTGGGCATGTCGGTTGAAATGTAGAATAGAATTATTCAGGCATCTTTAAATAGGGTTATCCTTGACACACTTCGAATTACTGCCTATTGTGTTACGTGAGAGACATATGCAAGAAGCCGCGTGTGCGATAATACACAACCACACACATTAGTGAGCCAGCCATTCAGCCACCCGCTTGTGGGACAGGTCGACGGGAAAATATAACTCCGGCGTTTTTTGTCGAAATTTGCCAAGCCAATTCATTTTTTTCACTCACGTGAAAGCCGTCTAGTGGCTGATTATCAGTGAGCGAATTGTTTGATACATAAAACACTCCATAGGTACGTGGCAGCGCGA